CCTGCGGAAGCCGTGCATCATCGATATAATCATTTCCGAAGGCTTTATTTATGAGTTTTTGAACTTTGATATGTTGCTTATTGGTAAGAGTTTCAAATATGGCAAGGCATTTTCGTTCTAAAACTTTTATTCTTGGACATTTACTACTTGTATGTTCTATTACATTACAATAAGTACACCAGGATATTTTTTTAAAGGTTCTTTGACGTGGTTCATAATTCCAAGACCTTTTTTGGACTTGCTGCGGTGGGTCTCCTTCGTTCGGTACTGAGCATTTTTCTTTAAACGTTGACATAACCTAGATTGATTCATTATAGATATCCGATTCTGTTGACTATGGTAAAAATCCATTTGTGGGATATCTCTAGTTGGCTTTATAATACTACTCGGTGCTTTTAATTAAAGTTCATATTAATTCGATCTCAACTAGAATTATGTATAACTTGATCTTAGTTTATTCAATTCAGTTAAATTGAGTTTCTTATCTCACAGTCACCACCAAATTGTCACACTCGAACTTCACCTCTTTATAGAAGTTCAAGAAACTTAAAGGTTATAGTAAGAAGACTATAACTTTATATGATTGGCAGAGAATAATGGCGTCGAATGTATGACTTAACAAAGAGGTTTTATAAAGGCTTTATCGAAAGAGGCAACAACTAAGTGTATATGAAGATACACCTAGCCATATGACATTTATTAGTCAAATAAGTAGAACACAATTTAAGAGTAGGGTCGAAGTCTTACAATGAGACTATAGTCTGAAGTCTGAAGTTAATAGTCTGCCGTTAATACTAAGACAAAAGCCAGATCTATATATACATATTTTAAGAACTATGATATACAAGCTATAGACATTTCTAATTGATACTATCGCTACCCGAAACTAACTAATTAACTCATAATTATTCTCTATGAATTTAGTACGAAATATCCAAAACAATATAGAGCGAAATAGGGTTAGTAAGGCGTTGATTGAAATTACACATCTTTCACGTGAGTCAAGTCACGGTGTAAATTTCCAGTGTAACACCGTCACTTCGTTGACGAACCACTCAGTTTTAGCATTGCCAGAATTGAGTCAATATCATAGCGATATACAAAAGATGCAAATAGAAAACTTTAACTAAAGTCTTGATTGAAATCAAATCCACAATTTGTATATCGTGCGATGTATTTTATGTAGATTAATTAATTAAATTTATCCAGTACTTCGTTATGAGAACTTTTTCGTATGTGGTGCTAAGCAAAAAACTTACAATGTTTCATGTATTTAGTAATAAGTTTTATCCAGCAGCTACTATGATCGTACTAACGGAATAACTCGAGTTATTTGATAATGACGCAATCCTCATCAAAATAACTTGAACCATTCTGTTGGTTCGGTCTTCGTAACTACCTGGATAATACGTTATTGAATGCTATACAGCCAGATAATGGAGTATTTTTCAAATAAGTGTACATTATTGGTGCTTCGCATTCAATAACTCTATATTATTCGACAGCTACTAAAATTAACTGCCCAATAATTTTATTATTTGACAGAGATAATAATTTAACCTACTTTTAATTATCATCATTTTGCTAAACTTGCCATTTCTAGTTATTACTTAGTCGAAGTTGAAGGTCCGAATTAGAAAATTCCGGAAATCTGGATGTGGTGATCACACCTTTTCATGTAAAATACTGAAAATTAGAAAATTAAGGAAACATCATCTACGTTCGCCTATACATTTTTGCAAATAGCTATAATTTTTAATTTATTGGAAATTCAATTTCCCACATAAATATATGACATAGATATATAGAAATCAATGTTCTCATTTTTTGAATATACTTCTTATTTATGTCGGTTTAGTTAATGCGTATAATTTTTTATTGATTAATTATAACACTATACATCTTTCATTTAAATTTGTTTTTGTCTCTAGTAAGCATGGTTATATTCAAGTCACAATTATTTGAATATTTCTAAGTGAAAACCGGATGCACATTTCATTTCTATTTTATATTTTCAAGTTCATAAATATTTGCTATATTATTGAATTTCATTTTACTCGTGTTAATTACAGCTAATTTCAAAATTCATGGACCACCCCAAAAATTTATCCCGAATTATTGTCGGGATGCGGGTTGCGGGTGGTCACGAGTTTTAGATTATGTATTATATTAGTATTTATTATACGTATTTTAATAAAACATACTATATACATCGATATTAATATAATACATAATCTAAAACTCCACGAATTTTGAAATTAGCTGTAAGTCCATGAGTATATATAGAATATAAACATTTAAATTGTTTACTATTTAATTTTATTTTGTCCATATTAATTTGGTGTGTGAGTATTAATATAATACATAAATATTTAAATAAGCTATTTAAGTTCATTTTATTTGCATTAATTAGTAAACATAAAAAGTTTTGATTAAGTTTAAAATAAACTAAATAACTAAGATGAAAGTGTAAATTTACCGGCTTGAAATAATTGCTTATTGTAATGAATATTACAAGAACAAAGTATGGTTTTAGATATGTAATCCTGATATACTGTAATAATTAAAGAACAGGCAAGTGAAAATGTTGATATTGACGATTGCATAAAATGGTTTCAATTTAGAATCACTCGTATGGATGTATGATTAAATGGATTACATTCGATAGACTAAGCAATATTAAAAACTAGTAAAGGCGAATTTGGTTCTGTATTTTCTACAACCTAATCAGATGATATACAAAAAATCAATATCAAGCAAGATTCAAAAAGTTTTATGATGTATATAAGTATGTAAATAAACATAAAATAGATTAAAAAAATGCCTAAAGGCATCTTGTCAAAAGAAAAAAAAATTTTCGTATAAACATTGTCATATAAATTTATCAAACATCGTTGCACTTAAGGTCCTAACCCTTCTATAGTAAATTGATACCAGATTGATAGTTACTAAATTTCAAAGAATTTTGCTGCTACCTTTACCTTTCAAACTTTCAAAACTAATTTAATTATTCCAAATATTTAAAAAGTTAATCCAATATTTCCACATAAAGTTTTATTATTGTTATATTTTGAAGTTAATACCGTAAACGGCCATATAAAAGACCCCCCATGATAGTAGACCCACCATGTATCATCCCCGGGTCTACAATATAGGT